TGTGAGATTATTATTTCTTTTTGCGATAAACACAAGTTTATCAAGGTTAGAAGGTCATTTGCCAAAGATTCTAAGGATGTTGATACTCTAAACAACTACGTGAAAGCTTTTATTAAGAGATCCATCATGAGCATCGCCTGAAAAAATAATTGTCAAATTTAAAGACTCACTTTCAGCTGATGTGCCAAAAAGCATCGGTTGGCCCTGTAACAGACTTTATATTACACTGAATTATCTTAATCGGCCAGAAAATAAGAACATCGTAACGAAGTATAATGCTATATTTACTTCCGCAACACAACAGTTTACCCCATGTTTAAGTTTGTACATTCTAGAAAACATGTCTCAATCAATTGAAAATTATATTTTAAAAAGTTCTTTAAATTAATTCTTAGTGAACTTTTCTAATGTGATGTTTTACGTGGATGTTCATTGTGATACTTTTTGTGAGTATTTGTAACAATATTTAATTTGCCTTATATCTTACAACAGCAATTACTTTATAAAATCAAAGCATACTTCATTATAAGGGAATAATCAAAGATAAATGAACACAAACATGATAAAATTAAAACAGTACGTGAAAACATCAAGGGACACAAACAAAAATGTCACCAAAACAGTAATGAAAAACTAAGACATTCATCTGAGGAACACACAGGGGCGCCGCCTTGGAACGGTTAGCAGCATAAGTACTGCTTTGGAGTTTAAACCGGTTAATGGCGCACGAAACATCACTCTTAGCCCCACCATGTTCCTTTAAAGGAGACATTGTAAATAAAATGAATCCCCACAAAGCCAAATTCTAACAATGGTTATGTTTACAAAAGGTAAAATAATTAAAACACAGAAATGATCAAGTCCCTTCAATGATTTTTAGGAACTTTTTTAGCTTCATGTGTATTTAAAAAGCTTAGCAACTCCCTATTTTCCGCTAAACAGAACTTTAATGACCAATATCTCACTTTAAATATTCTACATGTATATATTTCATAAACGATAATATTAATGCTTAAATACTGTGACACGAAGTTGCCTTTTTTATACTATTGAACAATAATCATAATAACCTTGTTTCCCAGTAAACAGTATATTGAATTGGTGAGCGTAATAAACAATCCAATGATTAAAACCCTAGGAATAAACTTAATTAACATTGTATCAATCTGAGAATTAACAATTTCCAATTTGTTTCAAAAGTAAGGTGGTGCCTGTTTCAAATCATTCTTCTAGACAAATTGTATTGATAAGCCGCGTTGATGACAACAACTGTTTGGGAGGGCATACAGACATTATTGCTTTACTCCTTTACAATTGTAAATAAGTTATAATCCTATGACTTGTGCTGTTTTCCGTTTCACGGTTTAATAAGTTTCACCAATAACGATTGAAATGATTTTGTTTCTAAATCCCCCCATTGTTCAAGTTAAACAAACGACATCTTTCATTCATCTACTTGTAGTAAATAATGTTGTTGAAGAAGTTCTACTTGTTTTAGTTAACTGCCCCTGAAAGCCTGCACAACATTTAATAAGATATTTTAGATAGTTATATTCATTGAAAATCATTTAGACTTTCTTTCATTAATTTATCAGTATTTCCTTTTCTCTTTGTTTTCCTTGTGGTAGATTAATTTTTATTGTTAATGTTTTATTTCTTTAACTCATGACGTTTAATTAATTCTTCATTAAAAAATCCTCATTATTAAACAGAACTTAATTTACCAGAAATATTGGGGTTTCTGCCTTATGAAAACTGTTTAAATCCACAAAGAAAAATGTTTATGGAGTTTTAAATGACGAAATGAAATGACTGAAAAGCAGCTTTTAAAATGTTATTTTGTTCCTAACAAATGTGTATCTACATGAGAAAATATTTTTGATGACGAATTATTTTGTAAAGAAAAAATGAAAATTATCAAAAAAGTTAATCATGTAACGTTTAAATGATTTAAGTTAGCAGAAACTTTTAATGATAAGTCAATCAAATATCGAGGTATCAATGTAAACTGTTAATTAGTATGCACAACAAAATGTGTTAAGAATGACAATAAATACAATTCAGATAGCTATTGTTAAAATGGCCGAGCACTTGCTTTCATAAAATCAGGAAACACTATAACGTGCATAATTTCTTTCAATGAACGCTACTTATAACAACAGTAGTTGCATGCATATTGTGGGGAAACAGTTAGCAGACACAAATGCAAAAGTATGAGATGTCTGAGTAAGTGCAGATATTGCTATTCCCCGACAGAACCCTGTGTTTGTCAGCTTTTTGACATAACACAGTTAACGAAAATTTGGTAATCATGCTTGATAAACACGGAATTGATTAAAAACATCACTTCATAAAGAGATTAAGTTCTTCGTTCTACAAGAATTGTAATTTATTGCAATATGTTGTCAGTATCTGTTTTCGATAAACTTCACAAAACAGTTGTCTAATAAACATCTTTGACAATGGCAATCAACCCTGTAAAAACATAGACATACTATTGTTTCCTGCAATTACTTTTGTTTTCATCTTAATTTCCAAAATTGCAGAGTAGCAAGTCAATATAAAATATGCGTGTAGAGAAAGAAGACAAAATGAATTGTTCAAATTTTGAATGATAAGTCTTAATGTAATTTTGAAATATTACAGCTGCTGCAAATAACTGATTTTCTATACATGTATTTTCTTTCATAGCACATGTTGACATTAACGTTGTAAGTTGTTTTAGTTGTAACTTATTATTAGCATTAAATATGAAAAGCAACAATACTCTGAATGATAACAAATTACAGTTTTTACCGTTGTCAATATAAAAAGGAAAGGTACAATTTGAAAAAATACCCCACCCCCTGCCAAAAAAACAAAACAAAAACAAAAAAAACCCTATACAGTGACAAACTGTTTGCTTCGTTGCAAACATGTTTGTTATTACCAATTATTAGTATTAATTAGATACCGTAAGTCATCTCAGATTTAACCTGATTATATAATTTGTTGAAAATAACGGATTTTCTATTTTTATAGCAAAAATAAACTTGATTCCATCGAAAGAATGATTTAAGTATAAACATCTAAAAAAGTAAAAGGTATTGGTTCTTTCGAAGAAAATGTAGGAATAATGCTAGCAAAAATAAATTTGATCAACTATAAAAATGACATCACTGTTTAAAGAAAATTTACAACGATAAGTAACTAATATACTGTTTCTTTAATCAGCAGTAATACGTTTCACTTTTCACAGCAAGACAGAACCGTATTTTGAAGATATATGAATAAGCGCGTTGCACCTGGAGTTCATTGTCACCAATTTATGATTTATACCACCATGAATGCGACCAAGCATTTAATGCTTTGTATTTTATATTTTGCAAACCACGTTAAGAACATATTTATGGTTAAAGCAATCCTTTCCATATTGACAGACGACCATATCCATTTAGAGGAAATCATCGTGAAGTGTTAGTTTTGCCAAGATGTATTGACTAATTTAGTCAAGAAATGTCTTTCTGTTTATGAAACACCTGATTCCATTTAGTAACTTCTGCTGCATGCAAACTAGGCAAACATTACCGTCTGTAGCCAATACAGAATGGATTTGCACAAGAGCAATTCAGTGTTATTTATAAGTTCATTTGTTCCGTTATTTAAATGAAAAGACTTCTCTTTCCTCTTCAGTGAGATGATTGATAACTGCCTTTCCTTAGACATCGTGCATTTTTTCAAATGCCGTTCTCACTAATGAATTAGTGATAATTATGCATTTAGATAAATTACATGTATGAAAAGACAAGAGCATTATAGAAAAATGTATGTAATGTTGAAATAAAGGCATTCAGTAATCTTCTATTTAACATATATTATGCAGTACTAAGAGATCATTTACTATCTCAAATTTAAAGAATACAAAGCTATATCTTATCAAAAATTTTCTAAAATGAATGTACCGCAAAATCGGTTCAATTACCTTATAGTAGATTATCATAGAATGTCTCTGCTATTTAATACACATGACTATTGTATGTAAACAGAATAAAATGTTACGGGAAAAATATTAGTCTGCTAAAAGTACGGTTATATTAATAATTTTGTACATTTGCCATTAAGCATGAAGCAATTTCTACCATGATTATTTCATACAAGCACTTTAGAAGTATTTTTCTCCAAAATTCAAACAGCAAATTTTCCATCCGACATATGGCTTTATTCACTTTAAGTGCTTACGTGCAAATGTTTGCAATAAAGAGCAATGTCCTCTGTATCTACATGTATTTATTTCCTGATTTGCTGTTCTTACTTTCAGTTATTTACTTTGTATAAAGTTTTTATTTAAAATTTTTGATTACAGATTTCGTTTCAAACAACTGAATTATCTATTTCATTTGTCCCCGTCTTACATAAATAACCATAATTAACAATTTTTATAAAAGGGTTTTTGTTTTACGATTAAAAATGACTCCAAAGATATCATGTTAAGACAGAAAAGAAAAAAAGGAAGCATCGTGAGTTGTAACGTCAACTAGCAAAGAAAGCTATGAAAAGTAAATGTTCTCTGATCTTACTTGTATAAGAAACATTACAAATGATCTAAGTACGACATTACGGATAGTCTACTGCAATAAGGGCTTTTTTATCTGGAACGCGCCATTTTTATCATATCTATAACATAAATTGCCATATTACTTGAGAACTAAGCGATCGTTTCTCCCCTCTCAACAATATTTGATCAAGAACGTATTTATGACACAAGGTTTAATCCCGACTGCCATTCCGTGCCTACAAAGCAAACAGCGTCGAGAGGTTTCACAACAAATTGCTCTAAGATTGCAATTTGACTAATCGATTCTCGTCCGCTATGCTTGATTCTTAGGTCCTTTAACTTGCCAACGATTTCGAATTAATCCAATTTTCTTACAAGATGCGTGCAAAATATATCGGCGGTCATGAGTTTATTATAGGAGAATGATCACTTATGGTTCGTGGGTGGCTGTGGACACTACAAAGTATCAAGACAATAGTGTTTTTTTTTCTTCAAAAATAAAACGACTTTCTTTTGCAGACCATTTAAGTTAAATAAACATTTGACAAAATGCTATTTTTATTACTGTGGTGAAAATAATTTGAGAATTTTTACGATTTTCTTTTAATATTTAAGTTAATAAATGTAATCGGATGACATATTTCAACTAAGAACTGAATTAGAAGTGATACCGAATTAATTCATTAAATACGTTATAAATTTACGATTAATTATATTTTACTTCAGTGTAAGAGAGATGCGGTGTATAGCAGGCTAATTATTGCAACAGTTTTTGAAATCGACTCAGCTAATTCACTACTACTGTGTTCAAATAACTTTCTCATCAATGAATGCCGGAGATATTTTCTAATAGCAGCGTTTTTTTACTCTTGTTCGTGCGAGCTGTAAAAATGCCGAGGCTTTCGCTAAGTATTGAGAAATAGTATTTTCATATAGTTATAACGACTATGATTAATTTAAAAAAGGACACGAGAGTATAACGTATGCAAATTATTTCATAGAAAAAATGTGATAAAACTAAAAAATAAATGCAACAACAATAACAGAAAAATAATACAAACGAACTCAGTATGTTTGACAAATATAATAAGACATTTATAATGAATACTACTTCCAAGACTTTTAACAGAAGACATTTCAAATAAATAGTTTGCGACGTTAAATAATTTGGAAAAGTGCAGAAGAAATTCTGTTGAAATGCCTTGTGGAATTTGCGGGTACAACAAAGAACATTCAACAAGATGATGATAATGGAAGATCTCGAGGAGTGGGAGAAATGGTGAGTTTTTCTACACATTTTTTTGACAGCTTTAAGTTGTTTTTTTATTTTATTATTCTTTTATTCCTATATCCTTTTTTATATTTGTAATTTTGACGATTGTTATTGATCAGATTGCTTATCTTTTTATTATTACCAGCTGATTTTCTTAAATGGACTTTATCCATTTCCACCTTTTGGAACTGTCCGATTTCAATTTTGGAAATATCAAGTTGAAATAAAAATTGAAATAAGTCTGCCAACAGCATAGATACTGGCCAGACTGCACAGATGTACACATGTCGACCTTACTTAATACTGGCTTATCACGTTCAGTTTCAACAGACTTAAGTGAGTTATTTAAAATAAAATTAAGTATAATATAGGCAGACTTTGATTGCAGCATGTTGCATTGCAATGTTCCATAATAACATCGATTGTTTATGGTGAAAAAAGTAATCGAAATGGTTTCATAATTTTAATTCATAAAAACTTTAAATAGCAAACCAAAACTCACCCAATTAGTTGACATTTAAAGTTTCTACAGAACATGTCTTATTTCTAGAATAACCACATGTTCGCTGCATAAACATTTAATTTTGTTCATTTTACCTCACATTCCGCGATTTTATTCTTTTTTTCCAATTACCATACACACTGTTGTTTGTTGGACCATATTCAAATAAAAAATTCCTTCATAAATATATCATCTACATCTTTTTTTTTTAATTTTGATATTGAATTACATAATTACAAAAATATATGTTATAATACATATCAATTAAGTAATACATGTACTACAAAATCATCTTGTCCTCCTGATTTTCTTGCACTTTCTTTAATTAAAATTTGTCTCGCTGACCTTGGACTTGATTGACAAAGTATTTCATCTTTTAAAGTAGGAGTGAAAAAAATCAGACATTCGGAGACAAACTGTCTTATCCATTTTCATGTTTAATTTTAAGATGATTAATTCCTTCATCTTTCATGATTATTGATTCCGATCAACGCACCATTTAACATCATAGCCTAAACTGTGTATGGCGTGCGTGTGCAATGTTCTAGCAACATAATTAGAAATTTTATAATGTAACCAAACATGTTTGTCTTACATCATTTATTACACATGCATAATGTAATCTTTGATGCTTTGGAATATTTTCATTAAGTTCTATAGATCGTTTCGTTGAATACCGAATCACAGGAACGGTTGATTTATTTTCATTGCAATTTGATTGAATATTTTGCGTTTTGAATGGAAACTGTGCATTATTGTACAAAAAATATATCTTTATAGAATTTTAATGAAATGTTTCTAACAATTAGGAAAAAACTACGTACCTTATTATTACGAAAATATAATATGAAATCAAATTTTGGCTTTAATTCAAAACCAAATGTTTTTTGGAAAATGAACACTCCTATGACAAAATGGGAAAATAAAAACAAACTGCTGTTTGCTGTAAACAGTTGTATATTAGAATGTATTGCTATTGTGAAGGCAATGTTTTTAGAAATGACAGTTCAATATATAAACAGTTGTAAATTTGCTTTGAAAAACGCAAGATGTACGCACTGATTTTTACATGCATCATTTCTTTATTAACATGCAGTACTTGATCAATTTTATGCTTGTCTATTTAATATCCATTCAATTTGTTGAAATATTGTAAATATGCCAAAATATAGTACGTGATATGGTAAAACCTGTATCATAGGGTGTAACTTGAACCGTAAGCTATATCAAACAATTTGAATATGTAAATAAATCTAGTGAAAATTCAATATTACTTAGTTTGAACGAAATTGCGGCTTGGGCTCCAAAGATATAAGTATTGTTGGTTTTTTTATGTCAAGTTTCCTGGTATCGAAAAACAAAATGTCTAACTTTGTAAATGATATTACAGTGGCTTATAAGAATAAATCGTTTGCAATCACGTGAGTTTAACATTGGATGTTATCAAATCAATATGTTTTTAAATGATATATGAAATTGCTATTCAATTATACGTTACATAGAAATTAAAAAGTACAAAAATTAAATAATCTTTTAAACTAACTAAGGACATCAAATTTCTTAATTACTATCTGCTATTTCACTGCTTCTAATCAAGGGTCACGTTATAATTTTGTAATAAACACATTTGTGAAAGAAATCGACATTTGTAAAGGTTTGGCAAATCACCAGGGCAGTCAGCGTTCTTTCTGAAGACGTTAGACAATTATCTGAACTATATCAGAAATTATACAATCTGATAGAAAATAATTCTGCAAATGCAATACTTGAAGACGGAATTGCAGAAACATTTGTGAAATATTTGCTTATTTTTTCATTAACAGTCTGGACCTTTATTCTTCCTTGGATACTTTTCTTCATATAACAATACAATTAAAGATGGTTAATGTAAATTTCAGAAGAAAAATGACAAAAATTAATGTAACCGCCTCCATCTATCGAACACTTCAGAAATAATGTAATGCTCTTTGTGTAGGTCTACAAAACTCAGTAAATAGCGAAATATAGTTCGTTCCCAGTTTAACCTTATCTTATTTTACTTTTGCATGTGTATTATTATTTTAATTCATAAAAATACTTCGAATTTCCAACAATGAAATTTTGTCAGTAAATACGATGTTTTGAATACCCAACTCTTTCTTCATTTTTGCATTTTTTTACTTAATTGCACATCAAATGATCTGTAAAATATTTTTCTATGTTTGTTATATGCGTACAAGTCTCGAAATAAAACTTTGTTCAATCTGTATGATGATTTACAATAAAACAGGACTGAGAAAGGTATCAAAGGAAACTCAGCTATTTATCATATCGAATAATGTAACTGGCGTCTCCGAACACACGGATAACTGTTGAACGGTATTGGGTTGATTAATGACACGTGACTAATAGAGCATGGCATTATTGCCTGGACAACTTTATTTTTGCTAAAACCGACCAGAAGTAGTGACATCACTTTAACCTAGGATCTTGATAGGTTGTAATCAATAAAAAGTCGTAAATCGCAATAACAAGTGATTACATGATAAGAATTTGTTTATGAAGGAAGTAATTGAATACTAGGATTGAGCTATACAGTACTATCGTTTATATGACGCCTTAAACTCCTTAAACACTATTTATAAATTAAGGCCATAATAAAGTTTTTTAATGTTCTATATTTAACAGATTGGCAGAAAACTAACATCCCATGATTAACAGACTTAAAGAACATGATTATAATAACTTTATTCACAAAAAGTTTCAAACCAATGAGTTTTATTGTATCCAATCAATCATTTTATTCAGTGGTGACATTGAACAGTCTCTAATAATCACATCATATTTTAGTTCAAGGTACACTAAATATTTTTTTTTAAAAATGATCTTTAAAAAGATAAAGCACTTGTAGGATAACAAACTTAATTTTATAACCTATATCATTTTGCCTAATGAAATCTTATTAATGAGAATATCTTATTTATGCTAAAGTTATATTCCACATTTTTGTAGAGCACCTTATAAGGCTCAACCACACGTAAATATTGACGACGTAAATATGTTTATTTACAAATTCTTGACATGTCCTTGACCTAATAAATAGTACTAGTTAGGTACAAACTATTCTCATTTGATGTGTATTTTCTGCCATTTGTGATAACCAAACCAATAAAACCACATCAAGTGAATAACAAAAGATATATCTCTCTCAATCTAAACTAGATTAGTGAACAAAAATGGCACATTTGACGTATAAGATGGCTCACGCAATGTCTTTTTATTAGGCAAAGAGGAAAATCTTTGAAGAGATATTTTGCACACTGTACTAAATAAGTATGATTTCTAAGTTGATGTTTTCTTAGATGCCTTATTTTTATTAAGGATCTTTTCGTGAATATTTAAACTATAACTTAGTTTTAGTAGACCTAAATTACTAATTTGTACAAAAAAGTCTTTTAAAATGTCTTCGCTGTGAAGGGATCATTTAAGATATCTACAATATATTATGTCGATAGAAAATAAAATATTTTTCTTTTGCAAAGAGTGTTGGTTCGATTATTTTTATATTCATTATTTTCATCTGAATATGATTAAGATTGACTGTAATCCACGTTATAATATGATCAGCATCTATGTACTAGAAAAAACCAGTCAACCAAATTATAAGAGATTACTTTGTGTTTCTTTTTTTCTCTGTAACTATAATGCATTATACAGATGTCTTCAAATTTGTAGATCAATATTTATATTTTATATCGTATTGTTTTAGATGCTGTTATTTGTTTATATGTTAGTAGCAACACTGATATATACAAACATAAAGGCTCCTAGGTCATCCAGACTCTGTTATTGTATTTATACATTCCTGTAATGTTTCCCAAAACACCTGTGATTATTCTTGATATCAATGCTTCATATGTGCTCGTTCTACGCATAACTGTCTTGTTTGTGGTTTAATAAACAATGTTTATTTCACATACAGAATCAGTTCACAAAAACACATCTCTACCTGGCAGAAAATAAAATGATACTTTTGAGATTTTTTTTGTAAATCAAAGGCTTCAACATCTTTTTTTCTATCCTTCTGAAAATTATAATAATATTTCTTGTTATGTTATTTATGTATATAAGTTAGTTGGGTTTTAAGACAATGAATACATCATGCGTCAATTTGTGTGAATTTTAAAGACCCATTGCATGATGCAAGACTCTCTCTATACCTTAATGGAGAATTAGAGCATATATAATTATATTATATTATATAACAATATTTACGAAGTAAAATATATAAACCTCACTTCGTAATAAAAATGAAAGATGAAAGAAACAAAAATGATATTAAATTATAAACATTGGGTTATTGCAATTGATATGAGTTTCAATTTCCTAAAGATGAATAAACCTTGATATGAATAGCAGTAAACTTATCAAATATAACTAAAGGATTTTTTAAAAAATGTTTCTTTCATTTAATGTACATTAATATCAGTTTACGTTTGGTGACCTATCTCTGTAAATAGGTTAA